CGAACCACCAGCAGGAAATAGGTCTCCAGGTAAATGTATCCAAAGGCAATAGCAGCCACGATGGACATGGCGCTGAAATCCCCAACGACGATGAGTGCTATGCAGACAGCGGCACCGCCTATGATGGCCAGGATGACGTAAATGAGACGGAGGATCATGTAGGGCACCATGAGGCAAGGGTCATTCTGGGGAGAAACATGGGAGTGAGAGGATATAACGAAGGTTATATTTTAGGAAAAAAAGGTGCGTAGGTTTTCACAATCTAGGCGTTTGTTTATACTTTTCACATCTTCGTTACTAAAATTGCACGCTGAAAATATTTTTTTTTTCCGATCAAATATATTTTTTATTGTTCACCAGCGAATAAACGTAAAGGTATTTCTATAAATACAGAAACAAAAAAATCGGTAATCTTTACGGTATGGACGCACTAAGCTAGGATATATTGAAGATGATCTTGGGAGGGCAAAAATTGCAGTCGTCGGCACAAGACAATCTACAGACACGAGTGGTGACGCCACAAATAAGGGAAAAGACCACGGAAGGCGCCGTCCACAGCCAGGGTCCATTCCATGCTCCCGAGTTTCTGCTCTAACTGGCTGTACATACTCGAGTTAAATTACAGTTTGCCGGGAGGGGATCAAGGACACGCCCAGTCACGGCAACTTATGACTGTTGAGTAGATTCCGTACCGGAGTTGGGAACTATCTCTGGCGAGTGCGTCCGTACAGTAAAGAATGGCCAAATAAACAAATAAAACGGTATACCTTTGAGACGCCGTGGATGAGAAGTGAGCTGATGATCACCTGGATGACGTAGATCAGCATCAGTGTTGCGCCGCCTAACATGACTGCAGATCATGAACAAATTTAGAACATGCATAATGATAAAACTGACATTGTAGAAAGATTTTGATACTGAGGACAACTTTTAACAGTAAATACCCCGCCTAACATGACTGCAGATTATGACTAAAATGAGAACTTGCATAATAAATTATAGGACGCTGAATAGATTGATAATAATTAATCATAACTAATGATAAGCGAGATAAGCATTACACTACAACGTGAACTGGAACCCATGGATAATAAACTCAGCCATTGCAGAACGTAAAAAATGAAAACCGAAAAAAAGATGAACAGGTGTGGTTTCGTTGACGGTACAGATAGCATTGCCATATCCCTTTCATCACTCACCAATGTGTTTCGCGCTGTCTCTGCAAGCACCCATGTCCTCGGCTTGCAAGTTCTCCCGGCAGAACTTCAGTACTTCGCTGTCCACATTCTGGTCATGATTTGCGTATATGTTGACGAGGTTCAGGATGCCAAAAATGCCACAGATCTGAAAAAGAACAAAAAAGGATTACAAAATTACAAGCATAAGCATTTTTTACCAACATCATCACATAATAACAAGACTGCCTACAGAAAAGCAATGTTTACATATCAGAAAATCACAGAACGATAAGAATTATCAGGCTTCCTCCTCCTCCCAACATTAGCATAGCTGCACAACCCTTCCTTATCAATATTCATACATTCGCACGTACGTAATTAGCACAGAATTAATACAAGGTCTGCCTTTACTTACGACCGAAAGCGAAGCCAGGATGAGACTTCCGGTTCTTCGTGTGAAGCAACAACATCCCTTTGGCTGCCACAGCATCTTGGAAGTCTTAATGGGAGAGAAAAACAAAATGTAAAAAAAAAAATAAAAAATAAAACGAAGCTTCGGAAAGACCAGCCTACCTTTGGCAAGAAACCACTTGGAGCGATAGATTATCTGGACAATGGATATCCAGTTCGGCTAAGCTCTACCTTGCTAAAGTGTACATTGGCTTATTTGTCTTTACAGACGCGCAGAAAGAGGGGCATGGAACAAAAAGGGGAAATAAACACCGATACAGCCACATCATATTTACCACGAAGTAACGAAAACTTCCGCTGCATTATCACCGCTCAGGCCAAGTCCACAACATCCTCCCAGAGCCAGAGTTCGTAACGTCGGGTTTTCTTTAAGTTGGCACGAAATGCCAGGAAATGAATAGAATGTAGGAAAGGTTTGGTTTGGATTTATCGGTTCGCACGATACCTGGTTTTGGGAATTAGTCTCTGGAAGTGCGTCGCTCACGGTAACAATGACCCTTCGTTGTCTAGCCTCCTCCTGTACGTACGAGTGCACGTCCTCGTCTGACTCGCATTCACTACCTTGTTCCGAACGATTTACAATAAAGGCAGTTTATTTTCACAGATCTTTAGGTTGTAATTTCCCTAACTCCGTTATATCAGGTATGACAGGCATTTTGTAGTTTTGGCCTTTGCCACTCTAGTAGGTGAGAAAAAAAAACAAACAATCAACTATGATGTTCATATTGCGAACAGGCGATATGATCATAGTTTGTACGTATATGCATATTTACGTGTTTATGTATGTTAGCATGTCTGTAGAGGTATGGTTGTGTATACATGCTAAATGAGGTGCATCTGTGAATTTGTCC